CCACCTGTGTGGGACCAGGTGTTTACCCTCCACCTGTGTGGGACCAGGTGTTTACCCTCCACCTGTGTGGAACCAGGTGTTTACCGCATGTCAGCCTCACGCTCAGCCCCAGCGGCTCGTTTATGGTTAACCGCAGGCCAAGGAGGGGTGAATTGCTGTCTCTCAAATGAACCAGGCTCCCGGGGAGGGTCCCACTGCAGCCAGGAGCTGCCATGAGTCCCAGCCAGGGCTCCTCCGGCTCTTTGGGGATGGTCTGCCCTGGTGCCTCTGGCTCTGCCTGCACCCTGGGTCACCGATCGTCACTCTCCCTTCAGGCGACCATCTCACCCAGAGCTTGAAGCTGAGCCCTGGCCAGGTCCAGACGTTTCTGCTGTGGGGTGCAGGGGCCCTGGTCGTCTACTGGCTGCTGTCTCTGCTCCTTGGCCTGCTCTTGGCCTTGCTGGGCCGCATCCTGGGTGGCTTGAAGCTCATCGCTTTCCTGGCTGGCTTCGTGGCTCTGGTGAGGTCGGTGCCCGACCCTTCCACGCGGGCACTGCTGTTGCTGGCCCTGCTAACCCTCTATGCCCTGTTGAGCCGCCTCACGGGCTCCCGGGCCTCTGGTGCCCGGCTGGAGGCCAAGGTGCGCGGCCTGGAGCGCCAGGTGGAGGAGCTGCGCTGGAGGCAGAAACGTGCAGGCCGGGGGCCCCGCAGTGTGGAGGAAGAGTGACAAGGACATCTGCTGCACCCCCTTCGTCACACCAAAGAGCCGAGCTGCTTTTGGACCTCGGCCTTACCCGCAGCCCCTGCCCTTCCTGCCAGTACCTCCTGCTGCGGCTCCAGCCAAGGGAGAGGGCAGCCCTGGCGTCCCGCCTGTCTGTAAGGGCAGGTGTGCGGGCTTGGCTTTGGCTGCCGCCCTGACCTGCCTGCTCCCTCAGCTCCGCCTTCACGCTCCCCATCTAGCCCTGTGCCGGCATCACCATGCAGTTGCCTGACCGCTGGGGAAGAGCGCGGCGGCTCAGGCTCAGGGCCGAAGCGGGGCCTTGGGCCGTACAAGTGCCTTAATCCTAGCTGTAGCGCCCTAGTGCCCTCCTGCTGCCTTTGTCCTGGAGCCCTGTCCTTGCCTCTCGCGCCCCAGGCGGGGCCCCGCTTCCTGCCCCACGCCCGGGAGTGGCCCCTGAGGAAGAGCAGAAGAGCAGGCTGATGAGCCGTTCCTTGTCGGGGCCCTTTGGGGAAGTGGTCGCCTTTGCCTGGCCTGGCAACATTCTGACCGCTAAGGTCTGATGTGAAATCACAGCTGCAGTAATTGTATTTTTATCAGTGCTTGGTTGATTTTAAATAAAGTGCACGCTATTTTATTATCTTGTTCTGAATAAAGTGTATTTCCTCCGGGCCTGCTTTGCTCTGATGGCCCCTGGCCAGGACCCTGCCCTTCTGGGTCTGCACATGGAGGGACTGGGGCTGTCATCAGCCCCCTCAACCCCTTCCCCATATCCCCAACCCTGGCTCTGATCCGTTGATGCCAGTGGGAGGAGATGCGTGGGGTGGGCCGGGCGGAGTTTGGGCGGGCTGTGCCCCTAGTCCTCCGGCAGGGGGAGACCGCAGTCTGGCCTGGCCCCGCCTTGGGGGCGGCCCCTTCCCTCCTGCCCCACAGCCTTTCCGGAGCGGCGCTAGGACCCGGTGGCAAGGGCGTCCCTGATTCGGGTCTCGCGGCCGCCCTCGCGCTCCATTGTCTCGAACCTCGCGGGTCCTGGACAAGCCCAGCCGGACCACTCCACGCCGTTCCGAGCCCATCTGAGAGCCAGCCCCAGCAGCGGGAGATGCTGGGCGCGGCACCCTGAGCGCGTGGACCGATGGCGGCGCCCCGCGGCGCCCGGCTCTGCCTCCTCCTGGCCCTGGCGCTGGCCGCTGTGCGAGGTCAGAGGGGGACCTGGTCGGCGGGGAGGTCAAGGGACCCACGGGCCTGTGTGGGCCGCAGATCCAGACGCGCACGGCCAGGTCTGCGTGACCCCTCCGCTGCCCCCTTCTCCATCCTTGTCGCTTCCTCCACAATCCCCTCCCTCCGCTGGTCTGCGCTCTGTCCCCTTAGGGACCCTTTCGGAACCCCCTCCAGGGTCCCGCCACGATCCTCTCCAGGATCCTCTTCAGCCCTAGCCAGCCCACCTGCCCTGCTACTGGAGGCACTGGTGTCCCCTCCTTTCAGCTCCCAGGGTTGGCGCCTCGGGCCCCAGCAGCCTTTCCCGCCCCCCACTGCAAGGTACCACCAGCCCGTGCTGGGGGCCGAGGGACCGGCCAGCCCACCCTGTCCTGGGGCTTGATCCACGTATCCTTCTCTGCTTGGCGGGGATCAAGCCCACCATAGAGCTGCATGTGAAGGACACTCCACCTCCAGTGTGCCAAGCTCAGCTCCTTGCCATGGGGCTGGGCGCCTAGCTGGTGATACTTTGCCTCTCTGCAACTGTGAAGGAGGGAGCCATGGGGTCCCTTACCAGATACTGTGGGGACCTAAGGATGGTATGAGGTGGGGACTTTGGTGGGAGGGTGGGCCAAGCTGAGCAAGTGGGGATGGGGGCAGCTCTTCTGGGCCTCCTACCGACCCTTCACCACCCAGCAGGTAGGGAGCATCCTGGGAGCTCTGGGCATAGGGTGGGGCTGGGTGTTCCACCTCCTGAGCCACTGAGCCCCCTGCTTCGGCCTGTCCCCTGGGATGTGAGGGCTGTCTCCCTGGAAGTGGCTGTGACCCCAGCAGAGCCCCATGCCCGCGTCCTCTTCCACCCGTCCGCTCTGCCTGGAGGGCCTTCCCAGAGGAGAGGACACTGGCACACCCACTGGGCAGCAAGAGCTTCACTTCAGACAGTGCACATCCGCACACGGCATTGCCAGGTGCCCTGCCCATTGCTCCAGCAAGAACAATGAGGCTGGTCGGTCACAACTGGGCACAAAGGCCCTCCAGCTCCCTGCTGTCCTGGGCCCCTGTGGGAGATGGTTGAGCTGTTGGCCAGCGACTGCAGAGGGCTTCCTTGAGGAGCAGGGGCCAACCATGGTGACCACGAATGCGGGCAGAGGCAGGAGGTGGGGAGATTTGGCTCCGAGCCTCTGCCCCCCAGCTAGCTGCACTGCTTGCCTCTGCCCTGCCCACTTCCTGCCCTGGTTTATGGAAGTGGAACCCGATTCGAAGTTAATGTGACCCTTAGAGAGCTAGCAGGTGAACTGTTCACACTGCTACCCAGAAGTGGGTAGTGTTCCAAGGTGTTTGTCATTAAGGGCCACTATGTCTGGAGATTATGATACTTTAGTTTCAGGGGGGTTTTTGAGGCAGGGTGGCTTTGTACTCCCTCTATAGCCTTGCATTTAAAGTGATGCCCCACCGCAGCCTTCTCTGTACTTGGATTGCAGGTGTGCTGCACCTTGGCTAGCTATGACAGCACATCTTGACCAGCCATGTTTGTGTGCTGGCCATGAGCTGTCCCATGTCCCCAGCTGCTCCTGGGGACCACACCAGCCTCATAGGCCTCTTAGACACTGCCTCCTGATCCCATTCTGCAGGACTTGGGAGATGCAGCAGGTTGCCATGGCAACACTGGCTGAGGAAAGTGGCAGGGGAAGGGTTCTGTCCCTCAGAACCCACCTCTGCCCTTGATACCCACCTGGGCACCAGAGGTCAGTAGGTAGGGGCCAGGGGCCACGGGTCTCTACTGGAGGCGGGAGGCCAGGTCTGACATCCACCCTAGACTCGAATGCAAATCTGGTTGTTTCCTTGCTCTCCATGGGAGGCTTTTCAAGCCTCACCTCTCCACCTGTGAGAGGCTTCCTTGAGGTCGGTCTGTCCCTGTGCAAGGCAGCACCACCGTGCCCTGGGCGGAACCAGATTCAGCCCTGCCAGCTCTGGAGCAGTCACTGCATCCACACTTTTCCCCAGTGCACAGTGACCACAGCGTCTACCTGCCTGCGGCTCTGGAGCTCCTGGACGCCCCTGAGCACTTCCGTGCACAGCGGCTAGGCCACTACCCCCCAGCCAACTCCTCTCTGGGCTCCCGATCTGAGACCTTCTTGCTTCTGCAGCCCTGGCCCAGAGTACAGCCACTCTTCCGGGCCTCCTACCCGCCCTTCACCACCCAGCAGGTAGAGAGCATCCTGGGAACTCTGGGCGCAGGGTAGGGCTGGGTATTCCACCTCCTGAGCTGCTGCCTCCTTCAGGTCATACCTCCTCAGGCCACTGAGCCCCCACTTCGGCCTGTCCCCTGGGATGTGAGGGCTGTCTCTCTGGAAGTGGCTGTGACCCCAGCAGAGCCCCATGCCCGCGTCCTCTTCCACCTCAAAGGGCAGGACTGGCCACCAGGGCCTGGCAGCCTGCCCTGCGCCCGGCTGTACGCCACGCACCCTGTGGGCATTGCCCACCATGCCTGCCGTTTCCAGGTGAGTGGGCAGCGGGGGGGGCCTGGCCCACGTGCCAGTCCTAGGGAAGGGTCCTGTCTTTCAGGGTCCACTGTGTGAAGCTGGGCAGCCCGTGTCTCAGGACCCTGGTGAGCCAGGCTGGAGTGAGGGATAAGAGGACAGCAGGGGTGCAGGGAGAGCGGTGGTGCCGCAAGGGTAGTAACATAGTAGTGCTGTTTTTTTTTTTTTTTTTTTTTTTTTTTTTTTTTTGCGGAACCGGGGATTGAACTCAGGCCTTTGTGCTTGCCAGGGAAGCGTTTATTCCACTGAGCCATCTCCCCAGCCCCCTGGGTTTTTTTTTTTCTTTAACATAGTTTTTTATTCTCTGAGACAGAGTCACACTGTGTAGCCCAGACTGGCCTAAGCCAGCCTCCAGCCTCAGCCTCCCCAAGTACTGTCATATGTGGTTCTTAGCATTACTTGTGTGATTTCCTTTTGGTGTTGGGGACAGACCAGCCTCATGGGCCAGGCAAGTGTGCCGCTGAGCCACTCAGCCCAAAGGGCATGCCCTGTTCAGGCTATCGGGGTGTGTGGGTGGGGATGCTGCTCCACCTTAGGAGCCCAGGGAAGAGCCTGGGTCCCGAGCTAGGTCAGCCCGCAGGGGCATCCGAGGCTCAGCGAGTCCCCAGCTTGAGCGTTCTCTGGGACTGTCACAGGGTCTTTCCTGCTGGGCGCCACCAGCTCAGCCAACTGTGCTCACTCTGTCCCCACAGCCTGCCCTGGGCGCCTGTGTGGTGGAGCTGGAGCTGCCTGCGCCCTGGTTCTCACGGGGCACTCCCTCGCGGGCCACACTAGCCTACATGCTTGAACCCACCGCGGAGGGCCCTGGGGGCTGCGCACCTGGCGGGGATGAGGACCCTGGACAGCAAACTATCCTGGTGGGGAGTGTGGAGCTGCGCCCTGAGAACCCAGCACAGCACCAGGAGGTGCCCCTGGATGAGGCCGTGACCCTGCGGGTGCCTGATACACCTGTGCAGCCGGGCCAGCCGTTCACTGCCACCGTCCTGCTGCGACGCGACTTCACAGCCAGTGTGCTGACTCTACGGTGAGCACGGGTGGGCCTCGGCTCTCCCCAGAGCCCTCAGCACAGCCCTGGGCTCATGCAACACATGTCCATCAGGGCTTGCAGGCAGTGAGCTGTGTGCCCAGGGACCCTGTGGTGGTCACTCTAAACCCCCATCTCAAGGGCTATGGCATACAGCGACCAGAACCACTATGATGCTGCAGAGGGCATGTGCCCTTGTGTGCCCCTGCCTGCTGCCCACACTTATCCAGGCCCAGGCCCTTGGGCTGTGCTGCTTCTCCCTGTAGGGTGGTCCCAGGGTACCCCCGCCCACCCCGCTGACAAGGACAGTGGGCTGACCTGCCTCCCTGTGTGGCTTTCCCCATCCCCTGTACCTACCAGGCCCAGGTCTGTACCCAGGAGGCAGAGAGAAACAGGCTAGGCCCATGAGGCATCAGGGCACCCCCTGGGCAGGAGAGCAGGGACCTGAGGTCTCCCCATGAGTGAGGGGTGAGGTATTCAGTGCGGGTCAGTGGTGGCAGAGCAGATAGACATAAGGACATCCTGGCTGAGCAGGGCCCTGCGTGTGCCCGGGGACTTGAGGGACTGTGGAGCTGCCACAGCCTGAGTGAGGATGGGTAGAGAACCTTGAGTGGAGCCTGTGACTGGCAGGGACTCCGAGTGGCTGTGGGTGGAGGGCAAGGCGGTCTTGGAGGAGGGGAGGAGGAGGTCCAGACCAAGGTCTTGCTCCCATTCCCAGGATCAAGGTGAAGAAGGGGCTGCAGGTGACAGCTGCCCGCCTGGTGCAGCCTGCGCTCTGGACAGCCAAGCTGGACCGCATTCGGGGCTCCAAGCACCACAGCACCCTTATCACCTGTCACCTTGTGGGGCCCTCAGAGCCAGATCCCAGGTAGGCAAGTGGGGAGGGCACCAGGGTGCTGGTGGGCAGGAGAGGTGGCCAGGAGGGGCAGTGGGACAAGGATCACCCCAGGAGGGAGTGCCCTCCGGCCCATGCCAGGAGCAGGCACTGTGAAATAAAACAGTTCCTGCCATGTAGGTATTTGGCCAAGGGGGCTCTGAAGCTGGAGCTGGTGTCACACTCCTGTCCTCCCTGTAATCTGGGAGGCTGAGGCAGGAGAAGCTCCAAGTTGAAGCCTAGCTTGGCACTTTATAGTGAGACCCAGTGTCAAAATGAGAAAGGAGGTATGGATGCAGTTCAGTATGGAGGCCCTGGTTCCAGCCCCAGCACACACAGGGGTGGTGTGAAGGTCATTCAAAGGACTGAGTGGCCTGGGGCTTGGTGGGCATTCTTTTCTGAGAAAGTTGGCACCAGGCTTTGCCAGTGGCCTTGGACAGCAGCAGTCTGAGTGGGGCTCTTCGTGCCACACTGCCCCCTTTGCTGCGTGACCTCCGGCCAATGGCCGGCATCTGCACTGGTCTCTGGTAGTGGCTGGCAGGCCCTTAATGCTTCTTCCTGGCAGCAGCCTGCCCGAGCTGTCCGAGTTCCTGTGGGTGGACTTCCTGGTGGACAATGGCACCGGCACGGGTGTGGCTGTCACCCGGCCCGTCACCTGGCAGCTAGAGTACCCGGGCCAGGCCCCTGATGCTGAGAAAGACAAGATGGTATGGGAGATCCTGGTGTCGGAGCGGGACATCAGAGCACTCGTCCCGCTGGCCCAGGTAAGCGGCGTTTGCCCGCAGTGCAGAAGACTGGTGGGGCGGGGCTGACAGCTGCCTCCTGCCTGCAGGCAGAGGAGCTGGTGAACACAGCACCACTGACTGGACAGCCCAGACGCATCCCCGTGCGCCTGGTCACTGTGGATGCCGGGGGCACCCTGGCGGAGGTAACAGAGCACACCGGCTGTGAGTCAGCTGACACGCAGGTCCTGCAGGTGAGAATGTATACACCGTTTCCCTCCCCAGGAGCCCACAGGCCTCCCAGGTGGGAGACCTGGCCCCCAGCCCCACCGCTTGGGGCTCTGGACCCCAACTGTGGACCTATTTCTGTTAGGGATTGAAACAGGGCCTTCGCCCTGACAATATCCCCATGCCCTTGCCAGGCCGGGCTTGAGCTTGGCATTCTCCTGGCTCAGCCTCTCAGTGCGCTGGGATGACCGACAGGTGTGCCTCGCCATCCCTGGCTTGCAGACGTCTTTGTTACCACGTAGCTAGCTGTGTGATGGTGGGCAGGTCACGCTCCGTGAGCCTCAGCTTCCTTAAGTCTACCGCGGGAATACCTTTGGATTATGAGAACTGAAGGCACCTAGCCTGCACCCACCAGACGCGACCTTGGCGGCAGCTGCCGTCTGATGCGGCGCGTGTGTGATAATTATTAGCATCCTGTAAGCTTAATAAAACAGTGGCGGCTTCCTGCCCCAGTTCCCCTGTCGGAGCTGGCATTAAGTGTAAATCACAGCCGGCCCTGCCGGAAGGAAGGGCTGTCACACGCCAAAGCCATGTCCCTAGCGAGCCTGCAGGCTGACTAGGACACCAAGCAAAACGGATGCCCCGACAACAGCGGCTCGCCAGCCAGCCCAGGGAAGCACGGGGCGGAGCTCTAGTCGCTGCACCCTCTTGGGCCGGGGTCCGGACGCTCCAGCTCATCTTGCTCCGCCCCTCCTCCCTGCCGCTGCCCCCAGGTGTCCGAGGCCTGTGACGCCGTGTTCGTGGCTGGCGCCGAGAGCCGGGGCGCCAAAGGGGTGCGGGTGGACTTCTGGTGGCGCCGGCTCCGCGCTTCGCTGTGGCTGACTGTGTGGGCCCCGCTGTTGCCGCTGCGGATCGAGCTGAGCGACGCGAGCCTCGAGCAGGTCCGCGGCTGGAGGGTCCCGGGCCCCCCTGACAGGTGAGTGCAGTGGGCTGGGTGGCCACGCCTCGGTCTCCCTGTCCTCACTACCTCTCCTCTCCAGCCCGGACCTTCACCCTAGAGCCTCTGTGGGCCAGGGCCCTCGAGTCCACGCCCCTTTTCCTGGGCTGGGCCTCCGTTGGTGGGTAGCCACGCCCACCAGAAACTACGGTGAGGGGGCGGGCCCTCTGACGCCCCGCCCCCGCAGCACCCCGGAGCCGGAGCCAGCGGAGGAGGCCGAGCGGCGCACAAGGGGCTGCCGCCTGCTTTACCAGCGCGCCGGCGTGCGTGTCCTTGCACCCTTCGCTGCGCACACCCAGGATGGCGACCGCCTGGTGCACCTGCTGGGCCCTGACTGGCTGCTAGATGTGACCCACCTGGTGGCATCGCATGCCCGCGTGCAGGACCCACGCGTGGCCTCGCTGGAGAGTGGCCACGTGCTTGTGGGCCGGGAGCCAGGTGTCACAGCCATCGAGGTAATGAGGGATTGGAGGGTGGGCCACACCCCAGAGGTCAGTGGGGTCCCCTCCCCAATGTGCATGCATTGACAGGTGTGAAGGTGCAGGAGGGGCCTGGTGTGGTTTCGGGAGCAAAGGCAGTGCGGCTGGGTTGTCCCCAGGCAAGCTTCCTGGGGTGCAGAGCAGGGTGTGGAGGGCCAGGACCCAGGTGTAAGCTGGGCGTGGGGCAGTGACACCCCATCTCTTCATCCCCCCAGGTGCGGTCCCCACTGTCCGGTGTCATCCTCGGGGAGCAGGCGCTGGCCGTGACGGACGACAAAGTGTCCGTGCTGGAGCTGCGAGTGCAGCCTGTGATGGGCATCTCGCTGGCCCTGAACCGGGGCAATGCCCACCCTGGCGAGGTCACGGCCACCTGCTGGGCACAGTCAGCCCTTCCTGCCCCAAAGCAGGTGATGGCTATGGGCTGGGGCACGAGGTTCACCCCAGCGGTGGGACAGTGGGGCGGGAGGCAGGGGCCTGCTACCCGGCCCTCACCGGAGGGCTTCTGGAATGAGCAGCATCCCAGGGAGGGAGGGAGCGCCTCTCAGCGGGGGGATCAGGCGGCCAGCTGCACTGTGGCGGTGGGAGGCCTCCCACGGACTGAGCCCAGGCAGGTAGTAGACAGGTGATTGACACGCGCCCCCTCTCTCCCCGTGTCCTGTCCTCGCCTCTGTCTGTCCCTTCTCTGCTCCCCTCCATCCATGTGGCCTGTCTCTGTGGGAGTGGTCTCCTGTGCATGCGTGCGTGCTCTCGCGTGTCTGCCTGTGTCCGTGTCTCGCAGGAAGTGGCCCTTTCCCTCTGGCTGACCTTCTCCGACCACACCGTGGCTCCTGCCGAGCTCTATGACCGCCGTGATCTGGGGCTGTCCGTCTCGGCCGAGGAGCCCAGTGCTGTCCTGCCCACCACGGAGCAAGGTGCCCCGCTTGGCGTGGTGGTGAGTGGGGCGGGCAGCGAGGCTCTGCCGCTGCACGTGGCTCTGCACCCGCCGGAGCCCTGCCGCCGCGGCCGCCATCGCGTGCCCCTGGCCTCAGGCACCGCTTGGCTGGGGCTGCCGCCCACGCCCACGCTCGCACCCGCCCTCCCGTCAGGCCCAGCCCGGAGCCCACTGGTCACCAAGGCCAGCGTGGAGGGCGAGTGGCAAGCAGCAGGCGGCGTGGGTGTGAAGGGCAAGTTCGAGCGGGCAGAAGATGATAGAGAGGTGGAGGAGGAGGAGGAGGAGGAGGAAGAAGAGGAGATGGTGCCAGCCCCTCAGCGCGTCACAGACCTGGAGCTGGGCATGTACGCCCTGCTGGGCATCTTCTGCTTGGCCATCCTCATCTTCTTGGTCAATGGCGTGGTCTTCGTGCTGCGCTACCAACGCAAGGAGCCCCCCGAAAGTACGGCCAACCCTGCCTCTCCCCAGCCCCACAACTGGGTGTGGCTGGGCACCGACCAGGAGGAGCTGAGCCGCCAGCTGGACCGAGGGGTCCCCGAGCTGCCCAAGGGGGAGGGTGGTTGTCCCTGTGGAAGCGGGGCAGGAGGGGCACCCCAGACCCCTGTCCCCGCGGCACCGCTGCTGGGGGACACCCCAGGTCCCTCTAGCACCCTGGCCCGGAAGGACGTGGGCGGGCGGCGTAAGCGTGTGGAGTTTGTAACGTTTGCGCCAGTGCCCCCAGCGCAGCTGCCCGAGGAGCCCGCTGCTGTGCAGTCCATCCTAGTGGCAGGCGAGGAGGACATACGCTGGGTGTGCGAGGACATGGGGCTGAAGGACCCCGAGGAGCTCCGCAATTACATGGAGCGCATCCGGGGCAGCTCCTGACTCCGCCCCTGGGGGCCAGCAGCCAGCGTGGGGTGGGGTCCCCGGGAGCCTCCTGCCTGCCCCCCCATCCTCTGGTGCTTGCTGACCCACGTCCCTGCCCGGCCCCTGCCCCAGCCCTTCTGCAGAACTCGGTCTAGGAGAAGCTTCCTTGTGGGAGCTGATGTTTCCATGTTGAGTTCAGAATAAACTCAGAAGGTGCCACGTGGGGTGGCACTGCTGCTGCTGTGTCCCGGACTGGGGTGCTCGGGGCTGAGGGCAGCTGTGGGGGGTGGGGCTGGTCGGGGGGAGTGCTGCTGGGTCCTCTCGTAGCGCTGTGCGATCCAGACGAACAGTGCGGCGGTGACGGCCTGGATGCCAGCCAGCAGGAAGAAGTAGAGGTCCATGCGGCAGCTGTCGGTGTTCCCTGGGGCCAACGAGCTCATCAGATGGGGCTAGGGACTGGGACCCAAGGGTGTTGGGCGAGGGCGGCAGCAAGCTCTGATGCCCTCTTGTCTGAGGCCTGAGCCTAGCTAAAGTGACCACTTGGCCACAGTAGCCAGAGGCACATGCGTGGGCCACAGGGTAACGTGCATGCGTTTTGTCTGCTGAGACATGAGCCTGGGCAGGGCTGGCCACACTCAGGGCGAGGACCGCTGGGGCTCAGCCCAGTACATCCAGGTCCAGGGTGAGGCACAACACCACCCCCCGCTGTCTGGCCACTCTCAGGCTGTGCTCACCAGCATCCACAGGGCAGTGCATCCAACCCCCAGGCAGGGACAGCGCAGCCACCAGGCTGGAGCCCAGCAGGGAGCCCACGCCTGACAGGCAGAAGAAGATGCCGAGGATGGCACTCTGCATGGTGCGTGGCGCAGCCCCGTAGGCGAACTCTAGGCCTGTGGAGAGAGGTGGTCTCGATTCCCTTCCCCACCACCCCATGCCCTGCCCAGAGCTCCAGCCACCCTGTCACTGCTCCAGCTATTGGGCTCAGGGCTGACTCTGACCTGCCCTCCCACACGTCACCACCAAGTCCCTGTGATCTCACCTCAGTTCTCAGCACCCCCTGTACTTGGGCCATGCTCCTCCCAGTCACTTCCTGCCCAGCCTGGCCCCACCCTGCCACCACGTGCTGGAACATCCCTGGAAGTCACTGGCAGGGCTCTTCCCTGGCCAGATGCCTCCAGAGCTGGGGGAGGCACTGTTGTCCTCAAAACCCCAATGTCAGGTGAGGCCCACAGGACCCCTTCCTGTCCTCCAGCCCTGTCCCCTGGCTCGCCACAGTTCTCCCTGCGCTGTCCCAAGGTCCCTGCCTGCCTGCTGGGTTCTGCCCCTGCCCAGATCCTGACACAAAGTCCCTGCATGGCCCTGGCTGGGCTGGTTTGCAGCTGTGGCCCTGGCCATGACTGGTTTATCTTTGTGTCCAGCGCATAGCTCCAGCTCCCAGCTGGGGGGTGGACAGATACACTGTGTGTTAAGGGACACAATGGGCTCCCTCAGCCCAGTACTTGGACCCTGAGCTCAGCACTGATGGGGAAATGGGAGGTGACCTTCAGCCTCCAGCAGAAGGAGGGAATAGCAATCACAAAGACGTGGGGGTCACCGCCAGGGGTGTGGGGAAGGCGATGAGGAGCCCTCATCAGCCCGAGTCTGCAGCATCTGGCAAAGCCCAGTGCTCATCTGTCCCGTAAGTGACTGCCTCCCCATGCACTGGTGCAGGAGCCGCCAGGCAGACCAGGTACCTGGGATGCTGGCGAAAATCTCACTGATCCCGATGAGCAGGTACTGGGGGATCTGCCACCAGATGGACAGCGGTGCAGCCCAGTGGAGGGCTCTCCCGATCACCTGGGGCATGGTCTCATTACGGTGGACGTACTGCAAACGCTCCATCTCCAGGACACCTAGTGGGAGAGCAAGGGCAAGTACCTCCAGGCTCCCGAGCAGCTCAGCCCACAGTGCAGCCCAGCAAGCGGTGGGTGCTACTGAGCAATGAGTGACAGGCCAGGTTGAAGGGTTCTGGCCGGGAGTGTGGGGTCAGGCTCTGGGCCCTGGTGCCTCCCTTTTTGCCTTAGCTGCTAGGGAGCTCAGAAGTCAGTAGCAGCTCACTAGTGCAAATCTTCGATGGCAGTCTGTGAATGAAGTTCAGGGCATTATCAGCCCCAAATCACACATCTGGTCAGGAAGTAGTCAGGGTTGATTTGAGCCCAAGATGACTACTTCCCTCGCTATGTGACCTCTACAGCAGGACGCCATGCACAGGAGCACGTGGCGGAGGGAGGACTGGCCTGGCACTGCCGTATGCCCCGAGAAGTGGGCCCCTCCTGTAACCTGGCCCAGCCCTGTCCTTACAGGCTTCATCTTTTAGTCTATGCCCATGAGGTCAGGGCCTGGCCCACTTGGGTCTGAGGGGATTGCTGCCCCCGCTGTAAAGCCGGATGTAGAAACCTGAAGTCAGCCTCAGGACCAGAAAGCCTCTAAGCAAGAAGGGCTGAGTCTGCCAGGTTGGGAGAGCTTTGCTGGCTGGTCCTGCAGTCACACGTCACTCGCTTGTTTCTGCAGCACTGGGGAAGAGCCCTGGGCCTCACACACACTTGGCCGCTGCTCTGCTGCTGGCCTCACTGCAGCCCAGAGGCCTTCTCTACACAAATGGCTTTAAGTCCTTTGGGAAGGGGGGCAGGTGGGGACGCGTTTAGTTTCCCATCGCCCTACAGCCCTGCACCTTTGGGGGGTCCACCCAACAGGTGTGGCGGCCATGTGAGGCTCTTGTGCCTATCTCTCAGGATCTTCAAGGCTGGCACCCAGGGGTGAGGTGTGCTGGCTACACAGCTCGTGGCAGTCCCCACCCCACGCCAGGACTCAGCCCAGGGCGTACCTGCAACAACAACAGAGGTGAAGCCGAAGAACATGCCCAGGGCCATCTTCTGCAGGGCCGAGGGGAGCAGCCCACAGCGCAGCAGCAGGGGGTCCAGCAGGTGGTCCTTCAAGGGGACCAGGATGAGCACAGCCACCACGTTGGCCAGCAGGAGCCAGGCTTCAGGGATCTGCACAGAAGGAGCCAAGAGCTGGGGTGGTGAGGCTCTGAGTACTGACTCCAGCACATCCACAGGGGACCCAGACTAAGCTCCTTGGTGGTGTGACCAGGACATGGGTCCGATTGGATGACAATCAGTGCTTCTTGCCTTCTATTAGCTGAGAGTGGCTCAGCATGAATGCATTATGATTGATTAGTGATGTCTGCTACAGGCACAGAAATCAACGTCATGGCACATATGTCATATCTCTGCCAGCCTGGAAGGTATGGTTTTAGGAGACTCTGCAGTGCCAAGGAGCTGGGAGTCCCTGCAGAAGGCAGAGATTGGGGCATCCAGGCCCAGAGGCTGGGCAGGGCCCCGTGCGGGCTCTGTGAGGAGACAAATGGACACAAGGTGGCCCGGAGCCATGTGGTTCTATGGGCTGCCCAGGTGGTCAAGCATCTTGGCAGGATGCCTGGGTGCAGCACCACTGCCTACCTGCCCTTCAGGGTGCTCCCAAGCCCCACAGCCAGGCAGCTGGGGAGAGGCCAAGCGGCTTTGCTCACCGTGAAGTCGCTGCCCCAGGCCTTCAGAGCTGTGGATGTGTTGGTTGGGCTGTCAGGGAAGAGCCTGGGGATGTGGAGGCGCAGGCCCTGCAGCACGTAGGTGGACTGCATCTGCCAAGGGAGGAGCCATGCTGAGTGGGCCAGAGGAGAGGTGCTGCTCTGCAGCTGCTGGGCGCCAGGCGGTAGCGGTCCCCTCCCAGGCCACCCTGCCCCTTCCTCCTCAGGCTTTTGGGCTGATGTCTGAGAGCCTCACGCATGTCCAGGCCCAGGCCCAGAGCACTGCCAAGGCAGGAAGGCGCTGAGCAGGCCCAGAGCTTGGCCAAGACGGGAAGGCGCTGAGCAGGCCCAGAGCTTGGCCAAGACGGGAAGGCGCTCTCCTGACACAGAACGATGTGTCCCGCTGGGCACAATTGGCCACTGATGGGAAGTCTCTTGAACCCCTGAGGGCCAGCAGGGGCATCAACCAGGGGAGCCCCATCTCCTGGCCAGTGGGGTAGGTGTCAGCATCCGTCCATGTCCCTGTGCTGTCACAGGGCACACCCCACCCAGGAAGCAGAATGGGCCTGCATGCCCTCTCTGTGTGCTGGAGGCCTGAGCCACCTGCTGTCCACAAGAGGAAACTGAGGCCCAGGGAGGTGGAGCCTTCAAGAGGGAGCTGGGCCAGGCCCTCTGCGGGGCTTCCCCCCATGGGGGTAAAGCAGCTGCCCCTTGCTCCTGCCTTTGCACCTGGAAGTACACCATCCAGTAGGGCACCAGGGTCGCCATGACAGGCAGGATCTTCACCAGCACCTGGAAGTTGGCAACATCCTCCTGTGGGGAAGGGCCAGGCAGCAGGTAGGCACCTTGGGGTTCCCTGTGGGGCCACGAGGATAGCAGATGTCATCATCCCCAGCCTGGGGCTGCACTTCACTGGCACCATTGTCCCTAACATAGTGCTCCTCCCAAGGGCACCACTGGCCATGGCCACCATTGCCTTTCGGTCAGAAGGCAGGGCTGGCAGAGGATGTAGATGCTGGAAGGGCTCCTCTCCCTCCACTCCTCCCTTCCTCTGTGCTTCCTGTCACCAGCTCTTTCCTCTCCTGTGCCCTTGGGCTGCGCCACCCAACTTCGCTGGCCATGACCTGAAATTCTATGAACCGTGAGCCAGAATGAACCATCCTCCGTTAATCTGCAGGTGCTGGGTTCTGTGGCCCAGCCAGCAGGGAAGTCACCAAGATGGGTGAGAGCCCTTTGGGTCCTGGAGCAGTGAGACCCGAGACCTTGGGGAGCAGTCTTTGGGACTTGGGAGGTGGCCTCGCCTTGGGGTGTTTGGATTCCCTCACCTGGCAGCGCGTGGTCGCCACAGCCAGGGGCAGCAGCTGTGGAGGGCAAGCCTGAGCATGGCGGACACCTGGCTGCCCATGGGGGGCTTGGAGATGAAGGCTGGGGTGGTGAAGAGGAAGAGGAAGAAGGCCAGGAACACGCAGCCCAGGGGGAGACTGTAGCCCAGCAGGAAGTCGACGTTCTGCTGGACGAAGGCCACCACCAGCAGCGCAAACACGGCCCCCACGTTGATGCTCCAGTAGAACCAGTTGAAGAAGCGGCGGGTGGCGTCGCGGCCCAGACCCATTACCTGCCACAGCACAGCAAGAAGGTCCAGGGACACTGTGTCCATCCCCACCACCTCCCATAGAGACACTGCCCAGGGCCCGGCCGGGCTCATCCCTAACCCTGACCGCAGAGCAGACACTGGGCACACATATGGCCAGTGAAGGGGGAAGGAGAACCTTCTGCTGAGTCGCTCGTGGAAAGAACTGTGGGCACAGCTGCTGGCACGCGGCCATGGCACACGCTGCTTCTGTATTGTCACCAAGTACTGCACACAACGGGGTCCCTGAGCTCGTGTGCTTCACTTCTGGTTGATGCAGCCCCTTTGTTTTTCACTGAGCAGCCTGCGCCATCCATTACTGTTACCAGGAGAGGGGGCGATAAAATTCCGGGGGGTGTTCCCACATGAGGTATGCACACCACTTAGAGCACAGCGAGGACACGGCCAGGAGTGCTCTCCACAGCCCCAGGCTGCATGGCCGCCCCGTGCCTGCCCTCCGTTACAGCCAGGCCAGGGGAGGCCACATAACCAGGGCGGTGGAGGTGACCCTGCACTCGGCCCTGACAGCAACTCTGACCTAGTGACAAGAAACTATTTCTCAGACCACTCAGCAAGGGCAGAAGGGCTGTGAGCCAGGACGGGGGCGTGGATCCACACCTCTCAGCTCTGCTGGCCCTGGCCAGCTGCCCGGGGGTCCCCCCCTGACACCCCGCACCAAGTTCCAGATTGCGGCTCAGCAGGTCTGGGCAAGGCCTGGGTAAGTGCATTTCTAAGAAGCAGCAGGGACTGGGGCCACCTGCTGAGACAGACTAGCGCACAGGGACAAAGCAGCCACCCCGCAGCCCAGACCTGGGTGCTGGCCCTGGCTTCCCGTCGCTGCCTTCTAAGGAGCTGCAAGCTTCTCCTCTCGTGGGCTATACCCAGCTTTACTTTCTGTATGCCTGGCTCCCTGTCCAAGGGCAAGGTAACAGCCCATACAACATGCTTGAAATTGCCTTCTACTAGAGACCCCAAGGGCCCTTGGGATGGGGAAAGGTGGGCTGCACAGCTCTGGACTTCGAAGCAGAAAGTTGAGTGAGTCCCAACAGGAGCAGCCGCTGCCATTTATTAGTCGGATGTAAATGACGACAGCTGTGACTCTGAGCAACCGGCGCCAAGCACACAGGATATAAGCGAGTCCCCGAGCTCGCAGACGTGTTGCTGAGGGTGATGGGTGCCCTCTCTGAAATCAGCAATTTCGAGAAACTCTCGGCTCCTAGGCTGAGCCATGACCAGGTGGTGACAGTCCGTCCACCCCAGCTCCGACTCATTGTCCCCAGTTCTGCAGCAGCCTCCCGCCTCAGCTTCCCCGTGGGTGGGATGGCAGGTGTGCGCCAGCAGGCTCTACCCAAGCCCACCTTAGGAGATGGGCGATAGACAGGCATGGCTGTCCCTGGGGTTCCCTGGAGCCCACTCCTGCCACCAGGAGAATGGGGGCACTGATGGCTGAGGCATTGGGGGTCAGATCCAGGGCACATGTCCAGGGCAGCCAGGGGTAGGTGGGTAACAATTAGGAGAAGCTGGGGATTCTGGTTGGCAAACACTGAGATGGAGGGTGCTGCCCAGGCCCAGAGTCCCTCCCCTGGAAGAAACAGGTGGGACAAATGACCCCTGGGCACTGCGCCTGCACCTGGTCACGGGGGCTGGCTGGACGCAAGGGCTCGCTGGGAAGCGTCCCTTCCTCCCGTCCGCAGGACAGCAAAGAACGGTCCTACCGGCGCCCAGCCGCAGAGCCACAGCGTCACTTCTATCGATGCCTGATCTCGCCCGGGAACGCGGCCCGCTTACGGGCTGCTGTGACGCCATGCGCAGCATACAGCTGCCCAGGGTGGCTGTGTTATTAGGGAGGTGTTTGTTCGTTTAGTGAAAACTGAAGGAGTACCTGCCCCGCTCTGCCCAGTGTGGGGACGCTGACAGCAGACCACACCAGAGTAGCCTGGATGGATATCCTGCTGTCCCGTGCAGAGGAGAGCAGAGCTGGGATCTGGGCAGTTCTGCTTGGTGGCCTCGGGCACTGAAGGAAGGGGAAGGTGGCTGGCGCACCCCCAGTCTTGGTGATATGTTGGGGGGCTTTGTGGTGCAGCTCCCTGACCTGCCCTCAAGGCCACCCTGATTTGCTGACTAACTTCAGGGTCCTTATCTGTAAAATGGGCACAGGACCACCAAGGGTGCCGAACACCACAGACTCTGCACAGGCTCGGGAGGAGCCACCGTGTGCCAGGGTTTGGTGCGCGCGATCGCCCTGCACTCACCTGGTCAGCCCCGAAGGCAGCGAGGTTCCCGCGCACGGAGCTGGAGGCGAGCGCGACCAGCAGGAGCGCGCCATACAGCGGGGCCGCGCAGTACAGGCCGGGCGGGGGCGTGCGCGCGTGCGCGGGGCGCAGCGGGGCGGCGCGCAGGTCCCCGCACAGCGCCAGGCGGGCGTCGTCGGCGGCCGAGGCCAGCAGCAGCCCCAGGCCCGGCAGGTAGAGGCCGAGGCTGAGCACCAGCGCGCGGCGCCGGCCCAAGTACACGTCGGCTGCCCAGCCGCCCAGCGGCGCCAGCACGAAGGAGGCGCCGAGGAACAGCAGCGCGGCGAGCGAGGCCTGCGCGTCCGCCCAGCCTAGGCCGCCCAGGCGCAGCACGAGCGTGGCCGCCACGCCGAGGAACGCGGCGCGCTCCAGCGCCTGCACCGCCAGCACTGCCGCGCACGCCGCGCGCCGCCGCCACGCGCGCGCCCGGGCCACGAGCGGCTGCTGCTCCTCCGGCCGGGGCATCGCGGCTCAGCAGGCCCCCTGCCTCCCCTGGCCTTTCCTGGCCTCCCGGGCCTGTCGCAGCCCTCCTGTGTCCCCCTGTGCCCTCCTCTGCCCTCCCGTCTCCCTTCACCCCTGTGTTCCCCTTTTCCCTCTGCCCCCTGCCCCCCTCTCTTCTCTCTCCCCAGCCCTCTCCCCTCCCCGGTCCCCCAGGACTCTCCCACCTCCACTCCCGCCTGTTCGCCTCTCTGTGGCTCCCAGTGCCCTGTCTGAAGGCCTGTCCCTCTCCACAGGACATAGGCCTGTAGTCCCTGTCCCCTAGCCCTCTCTGTCCCTCTAGCTCAGCTTCTTTCCCTTTTCTTCTTAAGAAACTCAGGGCTTCCCTTCCACTGGCCGCTGAGTCACGTGGCTCTGGTTTAGCAGAAGTGAAAGCGCGGGTCACAGGCCCCTTCCTCTGTCCCTCCACCCCTCCAGAGCTGAGGAATGCTCTGTCTGTCTTTCGGTTTCACTTCTCTCCAGGATCCTATCCTGCTGCAGCATCCTATCTGCTGTCTTTATCCCCGGGCACTGTGGGATGGCGCCAGCCCACTTCTCGGACTTGTGCCTGAGGCCATGAGTGGGGGTGACGGCAGGGACTAAGCCACTGCCATTCGCGGGTGACTGGACGCCAGCTGTGCGATGCACATTGTGCAAATGCCATGAAGGAAGGAAATGGCCGCAGTCGGGACACAGCAGCACCATCCAGGACCCACGAGTGGGTCGAGATTGAGGGGTGTTGCGTCGGGCGGAATCCCAGCCACCCCAGTGAGGCACCTCAGCGCCCAGGACACTGCCCACCCAGAGCCTGGGCCTCGCTGTGCCCTCTCCACGTGGCTCTGCCGGCAGGCCCCCTGCGTGGCAGGGAGTTCTCTCTCCCCCACATGGCGTCCGGCTCTGGCTTGTCTCCATGGTAGAACAACCCCCCTCCCAGGGTAAAGTCGCAAGAGTGACCTCAGCAGGGTTGAAGGCCAGAGGCTGCCCAGGAATGTAACCTTTGACATCAGGCGAGAGGCCAGCCTGTGCTGCCTGGGAGAAGTGGTGGAAATGTGTGGCCGGAGTGACCATCAGAGGCAGGGCCAGCCCAGTGCTGTTCGTCCCTGGGGCCAGAGCCACGGTGCTTTGGATGAGCCAGCAGAGATGGGCAGAGAGGGGGCGTCTTCAGGGGCTGCTCTGCCTGAGCCAGCAGAGATGGGCAGAGAGGGGGCGTCTTCAGGGGC